AAACCCTAAACCCTAAACCCTAAACCCTTAAACCTAAACCCTAAACCATAAACCCTAAACCCTAAACCCTAAACCCTAAACCCTAAACCCTAAACCCTAAACCCTAAACCCTAAACCCTAAACCCTAAACCCTAAACCCTAAACCCTAAACCCTAATCCCCTAAACCCCTAAACCCCTAAACCCTAAACCCTAAACCCTAAACCCTAAACCCTAAACCCTAAACCCTAAACCCTAAACCCTAAACCCTAAACCCTAAACCCTAAAACATAAACCCTAAACCCTAAACCCTAAACCCTAAACCCTAAACCCTAAACCCTAAACCCTAAACCCTTAAACCCTTAAACCCTAAACCCTAAACCCTAAACCCTAAACCCTTAAACCCTAAACCCTAAACCCTAAACCCTAAACCCTAAACCCTAAACCCTAAACCCTAAACCCTAAACCCTAAACCCTAAACCCTAAACCCTAAACCCTTAAACATAAACCCTAAACCCTAAACCCTAAACCCTAAACCCTAAACCCTAAACCCTAAACCCTAAACCCTAAACCTCTATTCTCTACTCTAGTATATATATTTAAATGTTTGCCCTACAACGGGTCCGCCCGCAGGGGGCTTTCTTAAGACCTTCTTTTCAGTTCTGCGCGTGTCCCGCAAGCTTCTAAATCGGTTTCGTTGTTCAAATCCAAGTTCGGGGCCAAAATCGCAAATTTTGCCACGCGCTAAACTTGCGCGCTTTCTAGGTCGGGCCCTCTTGGCCGCGGCTGAGCCGTGGGCGCGCCGGGGCCCCGCCGCGGGGCTGGTGGCCTGGCGGTCCTGCGTCCGTCTCTGAAGCGGGTGGTCCCGGGCTCGGTTCCTCCCTGGCGCGCGCTTTGCGCTGCGTCAGCGCGCGCTCTGAAAGCTTTCTTTTCAATTCTCTGTATTTCCCGCAAGTTTCTAAATCTGTTTTGCTGCTCGAATCCAAGTTCGGATTGATGGGCGCATTCGTGACCTTCTAGGACAACGACGCGGGCTCGAAGACCCACGTGTTGGCCGCAGGACGTGGCCCCCATCGGCGCAGCCAGGCAGGAGGACAGCCTCCTGGAGTTGCAGATGCAGCTGGGCAGCCTGCGTGCAGTGCCCGCGCAATGAAGGGAGCCTCGGAGCACTTCCACTTCCTCTCGGTCCTTGCGGGTGGTCCCGGCTCGGTTCCTCCCGCGCTTGTTTTTTTCGTGGCCTTGATCCGGGCTGCCGGGCAATGTTTTTCGTAGCCGCGGTTTTCCACTTCCGGCGGTCGGCTCTCTCAGCATTTTCGCGATCGAAACGCTCTTGGCTTTGCACGGCGCAGAACTTCCAAGCTGGTGGGACGTGCTGCAACTCAGCTAAACGCGAACTCGAAATCATCGCCAAGCCGTTGAGGCTGCTTCATGAATCGCTTCTCAGCGTGCGTAGTTTCCTGGCCCCTTGCGAGCAGAAACTCGCAACTACTCTCTGCCCTTGCACTATCGCCTGCCGTTTGTCAATTCGTCTTGGTCGCTGCTCGATTTTTGCAATCTGTCACCTACTTCGTTGGTCGCTCTGCGCGCGCGCCCTCTTGCCGCTTTGCTTTCACATTCGATTTGTTGATTTGCGCTGGTGTGAAAGCTGGCCCTTGGTAGCGGGCCTGGGTGGGTGGGATTGAGATCGAAACTTTTGATTGACGTCGCTATGAAGATTTCCATGTCTCAAATCCTGTGAACCCTAAACCCTAAACCCTAAACCCTAAACCCTAAACCCTAAACCCTAAACCCTAAACCCTAAACCCTAAACCCTACACCCTAAACCCTAAACACAATTCTAACTTCTAAGTATATATTTAAGAGTTGGTCGATAATGTCTCGGGTCTTCCCGGGGCTTCGTTTTCGGCTCTGCGCGCTTCCCGCAGGCTGCTAAATCTGCCTCGCCGCTCAAATCCAAGACCGGGGCTAAAATCGCAAAATTTGCAACGCGCTAAATTTGCAACGCGCTAAATTTGCGCGCATTTCCGGCTGGGGCCTTGCGCCCGCAGTTCAGCCGTGGGCGCGCCGGGGCCCGCCGCGGGGCTGGTGGCCCAGTGGGCTTGCGTCCGTCTCTGAAGCGGGTGGTCCCGGGCTCGGTTCCTCCCTGGCGCGCGCTGGCCGTGTCGTGGTTTCGGGCTGCCGGGAGGTGTTTCGTGGCTCTGCCACGGATTTCTGCCTCCAGCCGCTCGAAATCGCGGGGCTGCTTCTGAAGTCGCTTCTCGCTCAGCCATTGCGCGGCTCAATTTTCCGTATCACAGTTCATGCTACAAAAATCTACTTGTGAAGCTTTTCCTCCAAGTCGAGACACGCAGCTCCGGCCGTCGACGTAATCCGGCGGCATGCAGGCGGGTCCGCGCAGTCGAGACGGCGTTCTTTGCAGCACGGCACTCGTTTTCTTGAAACGAGAGTGTTGCTGAGCCAACACTCGCGCCAAGCGAGCTTGCCGCGTGTACCTCATCGCTCGCTGCTTGCTGCCCACCACCTGCGCGCACGGCTGCTGCAGCTCGCAAGCTTTTGCTAGTGTTCTCGCCGCGTGGCTTCCACCGCGCGCCCCCAAATTCGGTTTTCTAGGTTGCGCAGGCAACTTGTTGAGGCTGGCCCTTGGTAATGGGATCTGGGTGGGTGGGATTGAGATCGAAGCTTTAGATGATCTTCGCTTTGAAAAATCCACGTCTTGAAGTCTTTGAACCCTAAACCCTAAACCCTAAACCTCTATTCTCTACTCTAGTATATATATTTAAATGTTTGCCCTACAACGGGTCCGCCTCGGGACGTGCGGTTTTAGCTGTGTCTTGAAACCGCCCATTTTCTGGGTTTACATGCCCCCATCATAGGGGTGGGCCCAAATGACCTCTGGCGGGCCTAATGTGATGCCCATAGACTAGCCCATAGACCCAAAAACCCAAGCTTGGCCTGACAGGCGTTTCATCTAACGAGTCTCAACTTGCCAAACGTGTTCACCGTGTTCACGAATCGACGAATTCCCAAACCAATGGTGTCTCACCTTCACCTGGCGGGTTGCTTCAAAAAAGGTGGTAAACCCAAGCGCCAAAGGGCCCAAGCTTAGTTTCAAACAAGTCAAACAGTCAAACCTTAACCTTGCGGTTGGTAGTCGTTAGCCGGAACCGCAGCTACAATGTTCAATTCACCCCGCGATTCGTTGACAACTAAGCAGCATAGGCGATGGATGGCATGACTCCATGACAAAACCCCGCACTCAACATGAAGGTGTCATCCACAAACTTCCGCAAATTGCAAATGACTCAGCCCCACTTACACACAAGTGGCAAGTGACGTAAATAAGGAAAATCGAAGCTGGTGAGCTAAGAAAGCTTGCCAGTTTTGTCAGGTTGCCAGTTATCCAAGCCCATAAAACTTCAAAATATCATTGAAACGTTTGGGAATCATTGGTGGAAAGGAATCCCAAAAGGAATAACTCAACTCAACCCAAGCGACAAACCACAACGCCACATCACGTCGCCAGGAAAAGGCTCACTTCCTTGCAACTTTGCAATTATGACTGAATTGTCCTATGGTCTGCGGCACGTGTCATGTAATCCGTCGTGAGTGACCGTGAGTCCCGCGAGTAACATGAAAAGAAGTTTGGGTCTGCCCGGGACCCCGGGCCTCGCAAATCACCAGGCCCAGCAATCGGCGCGGCAAGCTCAAGATCGTTTTTCACTGCTGGCGTCAGAATCCATCTGGGGTTTGGAATCTGGAGTTGCGAGCAGTGTGTCGATTCGATCTGACACTCTAACATTTGGAGAGTCTGAGGTTGGTTTGAGTGAATCTGATGTTGAATGTTGGACATCTGAAGGTCTAAAGGTCGAAGCGGTGCGCCTAACGCCTAAGCCGCCTAAATCAAAAATCAGAAACATCAAGTTCAGTTGCATGTAATGAATGTCCAGAAAAATACTCAATCCTCAGAATCCTCAGCCTCAGAAATCTCAGAAATTCTCAGGAAAGCACAACCAATCCACAAATCACAAATAAAAAGAATGTTCAAGCACCGTGGCGCAGCAGTGGCACAGCTGCAATCGATCTGTACAACGCTGTGCTCGTGGCTGGCCGTTCGGCTTGGCTTGGCTGGGTCAGTGATATGATGCACAGCCACAGTCATGGCCAACTCCCACGACCGTACTGACTGTCCCTGTGCCGCACATCGAGCTCACGCAAAGCCGCAACGCCCTCACTTCATGAGGTGTTTGCCATACCGCATGATCTCCTGGGTGGCCAAATCTTTGTCATCTTTGGAAGCGCCGGGGCCACGCTTCGAAGACTTCCGCACTTTCAATGCCAATTCGGATGCGGCTGCTGCTTGGATTGCCGCCATCCCAAGCTTGGCTCCTGCAAGGGCCGGCTCGGCAGCAACCCTTGCTTTCGCTGCTGCCTTGGCTTTGGCGGCTGCCTCAAGCGCCTCAGCGTGCTTGAGAGCCTGCTGCATCAGCATGCCACGCGCGCTCCGGCTTTGCTTCTCCTCGGTGCTGGAAACGCGAGTCAGAGGCACGTGCTTGGGCAACTCGAACTTGGACATGTGCTCAACCAGCAATGCGTCCACCTTGGATTGATCGCGTTCAGCCTGCTGCAGAAGCTGTGCCGCGGCTGCGCCGTCCTCAGCCTCAGCCTCATCCTCAGCCTCTGCTAGTAGTTCAGGTTGTCCGCCGTGTCCGCGGCCCCGGCCCCGGGAAGAACTGGCTTTCTTCTGCTTCTTCTTGGTGTCCTTCTCACGCTGCCGGAGAGTGGCAGCGATCAACGTCTTCGCCATTTTCTCAGCCTTCTCCTTGCGCCTCGCCTGTTGGGACTCCAACACCTCTTCAATGTCCGGCAGCGGCTCCAGCACATTCAAATTGCACGTCACGAAGCCTGTGTCCAACAGGATGGCATGGTGATGAACGGCGATGTTGTTGCTTAGTTATTTGGCCTAGCCTGGCTTAGTCGCCTAGCCACTTAGTTGCTCAGTCATCGGAGTAGTCGGCTCGCGCAGCTCACGCTCACAGTTTCAAAATTCAAACCAAAGAAGCGCCAACACTAACACCAACACAAGTCACAAGCTGCGTCTGACCCTGGGGTTGAATTTAGAATTTAGTGTCAGTCTCAGAACGTTCGGAGGATGGGTGTGTTCAACGGTGTGTTCTTACGGATAGTCAGATAGTGTCAGTCTTCAGTCTGTTGTTTAACTTAGTTGTTCGACTAGTGACCCGTGACCAGTTCCAGCTCCATCCCCAAATCCGAATTTGAGCGGGCGCTAGACTTGTCAGGCCGAGCCCGAACTCGAGTTGTCCAACAACGCAAGAACTCAATGTTCGTAACGTTGGCGGAATGCGCCAAAGCAACAATTGCAACAATGTAACATGGGCCCAAGTTCAGCCCAAGCTACCCAAGTTAAACAAAGCAAGCAATATCAAATTTCATTGCGTCGACGATCGGCCATCGGCCATCGAATACCCTGGCTGAGGATTAGGGGCGCCCGAAGATTGAACAGCCGGAGCTGAAATTCGTAAATGCCAATGTCCAAAGTCAAAGTCTAATGTTGTCAAAGTCTGTCGACAGTCAACGCGCCACACGCCGTTAACAACTCGCAACGCAACGCAACGCAACGCAACACAAAGACACAAAGCAATAAAGCCACTACTAACCAGCATGGCCCGGCCCGGCGTCCGTCTGGCTGTCTGGCTAAACAAGGCAAGGCGCAGCGCGGGGCCTCACCGCAAATCATGGTGGCAAAGGCATCTTCGTCCGCGTCTGCGGGCACTACCGTCAGCTCCACATCCAGAAGTTTCGCAGCGGGCTTGCATGGGGCGGCGGCCGTGAGAAGCGCCAGGCTGGAACGGCGACACTCCGGCTGCACGTGCGCCAGCACACGGAACTGAGTTTTCCCCACCTTGAAAAAGGCCTGATCGGCCTTGGGCACAGTTTTCACAGCCCAAGCTGCAACCAGGACATCGTGGGACAAGACATCGGCAGGCATCGGGGAAACGAAGAAGTCGATTCCAAAGATAGTGCAAAGCTTGTAGCCATTCGAGTCCTTCGATGCGGCAAGGCTTTGAGTGACAGGCCCAACAAAAGGAAGGCGTAGGTCTGCATCAACAGGACGACACACCTGAATGCGATTCTTCGAGTCTTCTGGCTTCATGCTCAACAAGACGCAATCGGTGGCCTTGGATTCCTGGTGGAACACCTGCCACAGTGCGTTTGTCAGCTTTGACTGAAGCACCTGCAACCCGTCCGCGCTGAAAGCCAACTCACCCAGGAGCAACTGCTTCGCGTCCTCGGAGTAGTGGAACATGCCCGACATGTCAAACGCCACATCCTTGAAGCTGTTGATGCAACTGATCTTGACCATTCCATCGACGAAGACCTGGCCATCTGCCTCTGGGGTTGCAGCGGCGGCCTCGTTGCCAAAGCCTGCAACCTCGGGCATGTCGGCGTCGCCGCCAGTGGAGCCGGTAGAACCGCCTTCTTCCGTCTGCGCCACGGTCTG